GGAAATTAGCCTAACCATGGAAAGTCTAGGTCTCTTGCCATGTGCCAAATCTTTTGCAAAGCCCCAACAGTTTGACACAGTGCATCTGTGCTTCTTCTCTGCAAATATGCTGCTGATAGATGAACAAAGGATTCTCAGATCCCTCTTTTCCTACTGCCCATGCTGCACCTCTCTATTCTCCTTTGTTTCTTAGACAACCTTTTTATTTTGGAGTCATCTTTGTCCATTGGAAGTGACAGTAGGCACTTTTTGATCTAGTATCTCCTTGGTTTTGCCTGGAATGACGTTCAATATAGGAAATAACCCAGATATGTTCCCAGACTTCTCCTGTAGAGGCCTGCTCTCTCTCTCTCTCTCTTCCTCTCTCTCTCTCTCTCTCTCTCTCTCTCTCTCACACACACACACACACACACACACACATCTCCTATATAGCCCTGCTGGCCTGATACTCAAAAAGATCCACTTGTTCTCTCTCTGGAGTATCTAGATTAAAAGTGTATGCCACGACTCTCAGTCTAGAGGCCTCCCCTCTTTCAGCAATTACAGTCTATAAGCTGGTCAATTTTAAACACATGATCTTAATCATGTGGGTGGAATCATATGGAGGCAATGTTGTATATATATATCAGGACATCTTCTGGGCAATGTAATACTGACTTGATTCCCTGGGTGCCTCAAAGTGTGATAAGACCCTGTCCACAGCTGCATGCTGGGTAAATCTTGTATCATCTTGGATAAAATGGGAACTCTTAGTTTCTAGGTTTACATCTTTGCTACAATCTTTAGTATTTGAAAGAAGTTATTTATGCCAACAACTGCACATCTTTTCTCTTAAGTGTCCTGAAACTCTTAAATGACCATAGTTGCCTTTAGTCTTACTTTCTTTTGCTATGTTGGGTTTTAGAAGCTGGCCAGAATTTCTTCACAACCAGAGAGACTTTGAGAACCAATGGCAATGGAAAGGGCCAAGGCTTATGGAGAATAAAGTGTCAGGGAGGGTACTTACCTTACCACACCCTATATAAATTATTTTAAATCTTCAATCACTGAGTCATATTCTCTCACACTTTTGCATATCACCAAACCACTTTGAGATCAAGAGCAAGATAAATTCCCATTTATTGTTGCTTTGTATAAAAGAGTCTCCTTTCTTTGGTTTCAACATCTTCAGATAATGTCTGTGCAACTGAAAGACATATGACTGATAGGTATTTTTTAATGACACCCAGCCATGTAAGCTCAAAGGTTGTCTTGTGTGTACATGATATATGTACACACATGTTTGTGTGTGAGCGCGTATGTACATGTGTGCATGGAGGCTAGAGGTTGATATCAGATTCCCTCCCCAATTAGTCTCCATTTTTTTTTTTTTTTTTTTTTTTTTTTTGAGATATGGTCTCTCCCTGAACTCAGAACTCAGAACTCAGAACTAGGCTGGTTGGCCAATGAGCTCAAGGCATCCTACTACCTCTATCCCACCACCAGCCCTGCTCCTATCTTCTCTATGGGTCTTTGAGTGCCAAACCCTGATCTTCCTGTTTACAAGCAAGCGTTTTATAACTGAGCCATCTCCCCAGACCCAAGATATTCTTTTAGGAGAATAAAAGTGTTTAGTGGCTGGTATGTTGGACAAGCACCATTAAGTATTGGTTTTACTGACCGAGAAGGCATCACTTCAGTTAAGATGAAGAAGATGAATATGTAACTTGCAAACATTTATCTGGATTCTTACACAGCAACTGTGGAAAAAAATGGTTTGTGGAACCAGTCCTGACCTTTCAAACCTCATGAGTAAGCAGGGTGTGTGGCTCCATAAGTGTAGCAGTAGCCCTGTTAAAAGATTTAAAGAGAGCCCAAGAGATAGCAGAACTTTCTAACAATCAAAGAGTAGGTAGTGTTATCTCCAGATAATAGGCTAGCGAAATATTTATCAGTTTTGGTATAGAAGAAATTTCCTATAATGCACGAGACTTAAGAGTTAATTGTGCAATGGAGATATTCAGTTTGATAGCCTTTAATAAATTGGCTCACACCTGTTCACATTCACATGTATGTATACACATATGAACCTGATGAAGGCCTACTCTTAAAATTTAATGAGATTTTTTTCATCTTTAGTATAAAAATAATGGAAAATATGGTTAGAGAAAAGAATGGGACAGAGTTAGATTTACCAAGACCTTTGATTACCAGATATCTAACAAAAGAAGAGATGTTAGTTCATTTGACATAAGAATTGTACTGGAAACCCTGATTAGAATTTGATTCTCCTTTTCAGCTCAAAGACAAGCTCCTTCCTGAGTGAAGCCAGGGTGGTTCCCTCTAGAAGAGAAGAATTCACAGGATAGGTTTCTCTGGAAGTTTCAGAAGGCTGGTTCAGGGCTTCTTTGTTCTTGTCATTTATACATGTCTCCCTCCAGATGTGCATGGTGGACCAGCAAAAGGAAGCTTCAAGTACCTCACTGAATAGCAAGCTTTAGAGACTCCAGTAGACTCCATCACTCCTACCCCCATCTGTACACAGCCTCCTCATCTCTTGGAGATAACATTGGTTGCCAGGTTACAGAACCACCCTTTTGCTGCTACACAAAGGGCACACTCAGGCAACTCAACAATGAAAACAACTTGAAGGGAGACCAGCTGTACTTATAAATAAACATCCCAAAGCACATTAATCTGCTGCAAGACTTTATGAGGGGAAGCATAAAATTTCAAATAAAGGGCTAATGGGAAATATGTTCAAAATTTTGGAATTAGTGATGCTCTACAGTAGGGAACTGCCTGGCTAGAGCCATCAAACAAAACGTTACTAGCGACTGATTTGAGTTTTAAGACCCCCAGCCCTTCACTCCCACACCTGAGTTGTATATTTTATCTGAGGAGCTGTTTCATGTTCCGGACTCAGCTCTGTTTGCAGGAGAGCTGTCACAGTTTTATGGCCTCAACTTTAAAGAGCAGGACATTTCTTTCCTGGAGAAGAAGGCTAATAGGAGGTAAAATGCAGGGATTATGGGCTCTCCCACAAATCCAGGCAAGCAGATGCTCCTCTTTCTGTAATCAAATGAATGTTTTCTTTGGACCCAGATAGCTAGGAAGAGGCCCTTTTAAAATAGCCCTGGGAACAGGAGACATGTGCCAGGCCAGATTGCAGATGGAAGAAAAGGGTAAGGAAAACAGGTGTTTAGCTCCTAAGAGTACCTGCCCTACTCCCCCTTCAGGGTATGTCCTTGTAGACAATGGCAAGGCAATTTTTGTTTTAAAGTGAGAACTGGCATATGATTAGCCTCACTTCCCATGCTGCCCTTCACCCCTCTTAATGATCTACTTTCTCCTTCACTGCTCTAGGGATGCTGAGCTCTGCTTTGCATTCCCTTCTCAGCTTTGCACTAGTTTAGTCTGAGTTGAAGAAGACTACCACCCCCCACAACTTTTACTTCTCATGTTCCCTTGGAACAATGGGAAAGAGCTTGAAATGGGGGAATAGAACAGTCTCAAATCCTTACTCTATACTCACCAGCTCTGTTTGGCCCTAAGAAAGCCACTTAGTGTATTAGTTATGGTTCACTAAAGGGATGGAATTGATAGAAAGAATATATGATAAATAAATCATTCATATATATATATATATATATATATATATATATATATATATATTCCTACAAAGTTGCTGATTTTCAGGCTATATTGGAACCCAGCCTCAGCAACAGCAGAGATGAATTTGCCAACAAGAGCGAGAATGATCAGGCCAAACACAAAGTCTTCTTTCCTCAATGTTGTGCTAGTAGCAACTACTACTATTTTGGCTATTGCTAGAAGCTGTAGCTCAGCTCAACTAAATGAAATGATTAAGACAATCCCTAGCAGGAGTGGCCAGCAGCTTTGTTTTTTGTTGATTAGGTTAGAGGCAAGTTGACAATCAAGATTAGCAAATCACACTTAGCCTTATTTACTCCTGGGGAAGAAAGAAAGTACACCAGCACCACAGGCTCACTGTTATCTGTTGCAGGATATTTGATCACACTGTGAAACCTGAGACACATTATTTACTGGAAAATCTTGCCTCTAGCTGTGGTGTGGCCCAGCCCTACTTCACACCCTTAATACAAGAGCTTTCTATTTATTGTAAACAGGAATAAACAAAATGAGCCATAGGTCAAGAGGTGGAGCAAGCAAGCAGGGGACAGGAAGTAGCAGTAGAGAGCAAGAAGGAGTTAAAAAAGACAGATGGACAGGAAGTAGTAGGGAGGGACTTTGAGTTTGGTGGTTGTAATTTAAGAAAAGTGGCATGAGAGAGAAATAGGCCATGTGACAGGGTTCAAGCAGAGGGGTTTCTTATTAGGCAAAGGGATTATTTAAAAAGGGAGAGGGGGCCTGGCCTCTGGGGATAGGAGCAGCAGGAGAGAGGAAAGGGGGGAGAAAGGGAAGGGAGGGAGGGGGAGGGAGGAGGGAGGGAGGGAGGGAGGGAGAGAGGGAGAGAGGGAGAGAGGGAGAGAGGGAGAGAGGGAGAGAGAGAGAGAGAGAGAGAGAGAGAGAGAGAGCAAGAGGAGGATGGGAGGTGGGCAGGCCCTTTTAAAGGGGAACATAGTGAATATACACAGGTGGTGCTCTTAGTGACTGCAGCTGAGGATGTATCCTGTCAGAACCCCAGTACAGATGCATGATTATTAACAGTGGTCCTTTTCAGTTTGGGGAGGTGGAAGAGAAGCTGTTTCTGTTAATGTTGGCAAAGGAGGAAGGTCGGCTGGCTGTTTTCCCTGCCTCTCTGAGCTAGCAGGTTTTCACCCCAGCATCTGGCTCCTAAGTCTCTATTGGTAAATTAAAGGGGTAGAGACTTATTTAACACAACATTGTCTCTCTACATGGAGGTGGTTGAGGTGGTAGTGGCTGGACTCCAAAGATTCCCTGGGTGCGACTTCAACAGTGAGGCAGCAGCTTCCGAGACAACAATAGGATTTGGTGTAGCTGCAGTGCAGCAGATATAAAACAGCAGTGACCCTCACATGGAGTGCCTTCGGGAACTGCTGCTCATCTCCATCACTTGATTGTTGACTATAAGCACACTGTTGTTTCTGATGCTCATCCCCATCACTTTATTGTTAACTGTGAGCACATTGTTGTTTCTGCTGCTCATCCCCATCACTTGATTGTTGACTGTGAGCACATTGTTGTTTCTGCTGCTCATCTCCATCACTTGATTGTTGACTGTGAGCACACTGTTGTTTCTGCTGCTCATCTCCATCACTTCATTATTGACTAATGAGCACACTGTTGTTTCTCAGCTTCCCTTTCCCCATCTATAAAATGAGGCCAAGAACCCCTTGCAGGGATCTTAAGAGAATTAAGAGAAACATGCACAGAAAATGCTCAACACAGTGGTTAACACATGGTAGGTACCACATAATCTTTCCTGGGATTACCACTATTTAGGCAGAAATCAATTTTGATTTCAAACACATGGTTGGAGTCCAATGAAGGCTGAGCACTTCATATCTTCCTCATGGTGCTCTTGATGGAATATTTGCTTGATTCTAATTCTAACTCCATATGACCTTGGTTTACTTCTTAGCTTGGGGCCAGCTCATGTGCTTTGGTCTTCTTGGGTGAGCTTAGGTTCATTCTCTCTCTTTCTCTCTCTCTCTCTCTCTCTCTCTCTCTCTCTCTCTCTCTCTCTCTCTCTCTCTTTCTCTCTCTCTCTCCTTTGAGACAGGGGTTCTTTGTGGCTTTGGAGGCTGTCCAGGAACTAGCTCTTGTAGACCAGGATCAAACTCACAGAGATCTGCCTGTCTCTGCCTCCCGAGTGCTGGGATGAAAGGTGTTTGCCACCACTACCCGGCCAAGGTTAGATTCTCTTAGACGGCTCATAATAAGTGTGTGTGTGTGTGTGTGTGTGTGTGTGTGCACGTGTATATATGTGTATATTTATTTATCCATGGCCCTATCAGCCCCTGGATATCTTCAAAGCATGCCTGTGCTGGTTCTATACCCTGTATGCCAAATACAGAGTGGCTGGCCTGCTCAGCCACTCCTAAAATCAAATTTGAGCTTCCATGGGAAGAACAAATATTTAACAGGGGAAGGGGAAGCTAGTTCACCCTGATATTCCCTGTCTGTTTATGCTCTGAGCTCCTCATACCACTTTCATCACCTGCTTTTCTTCAGTTTGGCATCATGGGAGAATAGAACAAACAGTGACAAAATGAGCCCCTTATTGGCAGAGCCATGGAAGAACAGTGGCTCTGAAGCTGGCACCAGCACAACCAAGTTCAGGCCTGTAGGAGCTGTCGTTGTCTACTCTCTGTACTGAAATGGACTCAAGCCCTCCCTCTTTTCTCCTCCTGCTAGCTCCTATTTTGGAGCACAGTTTATTGAGTGAGACCATACTGGGGGGACATGGGACACAATCACCTCTCCAGTCTTGTGTATCCCAACATAGAGCATAACCTTAATAATGACCAAAGAAAGGAAGCCTGGTCCACACATAGAGAGGGGATGTTGGGAGGTGCTTGGGATAGGCACAAGTAAAGGCCCCAGGTCCTTTAACCAGTGGACACATGAGGAAGTTTCAGGATATCCCCTGTCTTAGTCACTGCCTACCTGTAGGGACTAGAAGGAGAACTGTCTGACGGAGCTCAGCCAATACCTAGATTCATAAGAATTAATTGTAGCCATCTGATTGGAGTAACTTCTTGAATAGAAGTAGATACCTGGCTATCTGATCACTTCTGATCACTTGGCTTAATATGGTCCTAATTAATCTCATTGGAGAGACTGAGTGCCACCAGACATTTTTGTCCAGTCTGGGTACCTATACTTAGGACTGACAGGGATCCAGGGCTACAGGATTCCTCTGGCTGCAATCCTTTGGTTGTGGTCCTTGTGGAATGGCTCTCCCTTTTTCTCCGGCAGAGCTGGGAAGACATCCAGGGCCAGCTGTGTGCTTTGTGAAGCAGCTTCTCTAGTTTCTGAGCCCTCTGTCTCTCTAGTGCAGGAGGATGGGATTAACTTTCAGTTTCACACCCTGGAGCTCCAAGTACCAAACAAGTTCAGTGTTTCTCAGGTTCAAGACACTGACTTGGCTTTTAGCAAATGAATACAATAACAAGCTAGAATATGTAGGTCCTCAGTGGGTGAACCTGGGAACCACAGGAGCAAAGAGTTTCCAGTTACCCTCTGGCTTGCGCTCAAAGTCTCACTCTCCCCAAAGAATGGGTGTGAAGGCTCAGGCTACGCAATGGTCTGGGAATGGAGACTTGGAAGAGAGAATTGAGGTTCCCCAGAATTACAGAGCAAGCCTTTAGCCAGCAAGCAGGTGGCCAGAGAGAAAGGAAGGGAAGTTGTCCTGAGCGGGTGTGATAAGCATGGGATGCTGCTTCAAGATGCCGTGTCCAGCAGCTGGTGGGCTGTATTCCTCTCTCAGTGCTGTTTCAGACTGAATGTGTTCTCCCAGAGTTCAAATGGTGAAGCTCCATTTCTTCTGTACCATGATATTTAGGGGTAACTAGGCTTAAACGAAGCCATGAAGGTGAAGCCTCTAAGGTAGGAAGAAGAGACTAGAGTCTCCCTATGCTTCCATCAGTGTGAAGATACAGCAGGAAGGTTACAATCTATAAACCAGGAAAAGGCCATCAATGCCTCACCAGACACAGAATTTGCTGGTGCCTCAGTCGATCCTGGAGTTCTCAGCCTCAGAACTGTGATCAATGTTCGTTGTGTAAGCCATGCATGTATAGTTCATGCATTCTGTTATAACAATCCCACTGTCTGAGTCAGGCCTTGATATTCTGTTTTTTTTTTTTTTTGTTTGTTTGTTTGTTTTGTTTTGTTTTTTTCAGTAGGCATTGTAGGACCAGAGGAGCCCAAATGATTGTCTTCTGTAGTCTAATCCTACTCTAAGCAATGACCTCATGCCTTAGGGACTTTGCCCAAGTCAGGCCAAAGTCTTGGCTGTAAAATCAGAAAGACATTGGCTTTCATTGCTCACTGTGTCCATCTGCATGGAGAAAAGCAGAGGACAGAGTTGTTACTCAGATAATCACCAAGCCAGCCCTGTGGGGAAAACAAAGCATTTATTCACAGGGACTCACTGTCTAGAGGGATGTGGCATCCTTGAACACAAGTAGGGATTTCTTGCTTACTTTGTAGAGACACATCCAGGGCTATTATTGACCATACCCTTATATAACAGAGCTGGTTCCCTTGTAGCCTTTGAATCCACAAACTGTCTATTTTAGTACTAGCCTATGAACAAACTCAGTTAATTATCTCTCTGACTCGTACTTCTTACAAGCATGAAGTTGGAGAAGCTACTCAGCAACATCTCTATGCATATGTTTCTTCACATAAAGTGCAGGATAGCATTATCTTCCTGAAATGGTTGCAAAGTCTCTTGCTTTCCCTTCCTCCTCTCTCCAGAGAATTCTGTAGTTATTAACTATTGTGATATGAAGCTATTGTTTCCGTTCTAGTCTTCTGAACTTTACTATCCATTTTAACCAGCCCTGCTGAACTCAGAGCCTGCAGAGTATACATGTGGTATGCTTTATTTTGTCAGCATAGTGTTTATTACAAATCTGAGCTTGAGTGTGTTTGATGGCCACACACTCTCTAGTTGCTAGTCCCCAGAGCCGCATGCTTGAAACATTCATGATACTTGTCATGGCCCCTGTAAACTCTGTTTTGCAGGTTTATAACTACTTGTAGTGCAGAGATAAATGGGACAGAGTGGGAGAGACCACATGTGTGCAAGAAGGTCTGATAGTGGAAGTGAGGACATAAGTCTGGAAGGAGTCACTGTGAAAGTGTACTAAGACAGGAGTATGTCACTTCCCTGCTTCTTCTCTCTGACTGCACCCCATGCTCCTGGAAGCAATGTCAGGAGCCAGACAAGCCCAAAGCAGTGATTACTCATGTGTAGGTTGTCACATGTATATGTCCATATACACATTCATTCGTGTATGCCCACATAGATGAACCTTCCATCCAGAGCCATGAAGTGGCTGCCTTTGTGGTTGCCATACACTTTGTGATTTCTTTCAGTGGCCCCTTCTGATTCTCAGGTAGTGACTGATGCTCCTATCTCTGCCAGCGTCTTGCATTCTGCTACTTTCTTTTCCAAGACAGCTTGAGGTCTCCAGTGTGGGCCTCTGGAACCAAGGCTTCCCATTAATAGATGGTCAGTTCCAGCAGTTTCATTATGGTTTATTTTCTTTACAGGTCAATTTCTACCAATTCTACTTGGGTGGAAGGATGGTTTCAACACTAGCCACAACAGCTAGACATGAGCTGTCAGGGGGCCATGGACTCAGGGGTCCTTCACATTGGAGCTTTGAAACCGATGCTCTGACCATTAAGACATGCAAATTCTTCCCTCAGCTTTCTGATTGACTCTACATTATAAGAGTGTTGCAGGACATTCATTCAACAAGGACATCTGTTCAACTATGTTCATACCAGTGTTGTTTGTAATAGCCAGAACCTGGAAGCAACCTAGATGCCCTTCAACTGAAGAATGGACGGAGAAAATATGGTACATTTACACAATAGAGTATTAATCAGTGGGGAAAAAAAACCCAATGGAATCTTGAAATTTACAGGCAAATGGATGAAACTGGAAGAGACCATCCTGAGTGAGGTAACCCAGTCACAGAAAGACAAGTATGGTATATACTTACTCATATATGGATATTAGACATAGAGCAAAGGATCACCAGCCTACAATCCACACTACCAGAGAAGCCAGGAAATAAGGAGGACCCTAAGAGAGAAATACATGGTCCCTTGAAGAAGGGGAAAGAGACAAGAATTCCTGAACAAATTGGGAACACGGGGGGGGGGGGGGAAAGGGAGGGAGGTAAGAAAAAGAAGGTGAGAAGAGGAGGGGAGAACAAGAGGAATCAGGAAGACTGAGTCAGGGGAGGAATAGAGGAGAGCAAGAAAAAAGATAACCTTAATAGAGGGAGCCAGTATAGGTTTAAAGAGAAATCTGGCACTAGGAAAATGTTCAGAGATTCATAAAAATGACCCCAACTAAGAATCTAAGTAGTAGTGGAGAGGCTATCTTAAATGCCCTTCCCCTATAATGAGATCCATGACTACCTTATATGCCATCCTAGAGCCTTCAACTAATAGCTGATGGAAGCAGAAGCAGGCACCCACAGATAAGCACTGAGCAGAACTCTTGGAATCCAGTAGTAGAGAGGGAGGAGCGATGAGCAAAGGAGTCAAGACTATGCTAGAGAA